AATCAGGTCGCTTGAGGCCCTTGGCTCTGAACACATCGAAATGGAGGCTGATCAAATCCTTGGACTTTCCATGCGGATCCTGTCTGAGCGTAAAACTGCCCGTGCTCAGAGACGTCTCAATCTGCATCTTGACAGTGTCCCTTGGGGCGTCGACTTCGGCCGCGAGAGCGGTCTTCTCGTCCCAGTCGATGACGTCGTAGAGCTCCTTGCGCTGCTCTTCCGTGATCTGGGTATTCTCGCCATCGTCCTGCTTGTCCTGGGCCTGCGGCTTCGCACCCCATGCCCAAGCCAGCCAACCCTGTTGCTGTTGTTGTTGCGGTTGTGGGGCCGGTCTGTTTTTGAGTGCTTCAGCATTCTCCCTCTTGAGCTGGTTACGCGCCAGAGATCGCCAGAACCGCAGATCCTCGTAGTCGAGCTTCCACTCGAGCTTGTTCAGGGCGTCACCCTCTTCGGGCGACAATTGCTGGTTCTGTTTGCGCTTCTTGAACAGCTCAATGTAGCGTCTTCTGTCGTCACGGCGTTCTCGGAAATAGTCCCAGGACCACCGTTTGTTCCTGTCGTGGATCTTGCTGAGGACGGCGTCACCAGCAAACCTGAGCCATGCGCGGGGGTCTTCCTTGGGCGTGACGCCCTTGGGTTGGTACTTTTTGTACTCCTGGTGTCGAATGAAGTAATGGAACAGTTCCACCATCATAAGGGCGTCGCGGTACTGATGGTCGTCCAAAACTAGACCAATCTCGTCAAAGAGCAGGTTTGCCTTGAACTTTGGTACGTGGGGATCGCCTGTCTTGTCGAGCTCGATCTTTGCTTGGCCGGAGACAGGCTTCAAGATGAACTGGTGATTATCGGAAAGTTCGCCGTCGCCTCGCACAATCATGGACCGGAAATTGGCCAGCATTTCATCGTGGGGCGTCAGCTCTTCGCCCGGTGACTGGGACTCGCGCCCAGGTCCCATGAGTTTTGTGTCGGTGTTCCAGTAGACCGCCAATGCGCCCAGCTTGGCGAGTTTGTGTGTCGTCTTGGCTGAGCCGGTGATGAATGTCGGCTTCCACTCTCCGTCGGTACTGACAGCGCTGAACTCCTCGAGAGTGACTCCCAACGCAAACGGGTGTCCCGGGGCGGAGATGGAGTCCTCGTAACGAATATGGATGTTCTTCACTGTGACTTGTAGGTTGTCGACGATTTTGGTGACCAGGCTCTCGGTGAAGCTCTGGGTGCGCTTCTCCTCCTCCTGACTGAGGCCTTCCTGTGATCGTTCCTTCAGCAGCTCGGCCGAGTCAAGCTTCTCCATTTTGATACGCTGTTTTCGACGGTTCTCCTCCTCTTCGTTATATTGCGCCTCCTCCTTGGGAGAGGCGAGAAGGAAAACATCCTCAATGTAGACCTTGACGGGGGCGCCGCGGAGGTTGGACCAGGGGATGGTCAGGGTCAGGGCGCCGAGATGACCCTCGACGACGTTGATCGGGAGCTTAAGCTGGTCGAGGGCCTCCCTACGGAGTTCGAGGTCGCGAAGCTTGACGTCGCCAGACCAGATGCCGACCTTGAGCTGTGTCGGGTCGAAGTTCTTGACATACATGCCAAGGAAGCGGTTCAACAGCCCCGCCACCAAGCCTTCCAACATGACGAGTGTGTGGTGCCGTTACCCGGGCGGGGGGCAATTTGGTTCGAGTGTTTATCGAGGGACTTGTCGGGGCTTCATCTGAAGTCGGCGGCAGCGCGGTAGTTGTGGGGGAGGTTGGGCTTCGAGCGGGAGGGAGGGGTCGGGTTCGGTTCGTGTCGTCGTAGGCGTCGGTGTTGCCCAAATCATGCCAGACCACCAGACGGAACAGCTGGCGAAGGGAGGATGCCTGCCTTCAACTGGGCAGCACTGGCGTCATGGAAGGGCCGGTCGAGAGGTGCCTGTGAGGTCAGTTGGCTGGTTGTGCTGGGCCTCGATTCTTAGGTGGGAAAGAGATGGTACCTCAGCTGCTGTTCCAAATTCGCGGGGCACAGGGACGGAGGGAACAGCGGGAGATGGCGTGGTGAGAAAGATTTGGAGCGCGGAATCGGAAATCCGCTGCACTTCGTCGCCGCTAACGGTCAGGGTAAACAGAATTCCACAAAAAGGCAAAACGGTCTTGGAGGTATTCCTAGGTGCTGGTGCTGCGGATAGGGCCAGGTAGTGGAATGTCTAACGTCGAATGTCAATTTTGGAATGTCAAAATCGCGGGAAAGGCGGGCAAGGGTCGGGGTTGGGATGGAAGCCACGCTGCGCCTAGCTTGACCAAAGCGTCGTGTCGTGATGGCTGTGATGTCAGGCTTCTTTTTAGGGAGCTTTCCCGGCTTTCTGGCGCTGTGGCGCTGATGACGATGAGACCAGCCCGCCATTGAGCTTTTGGTTGGATGGAAGGGCTGCTTGGGCTCCGCCAGTCCAGCCAAGGCTGGGCATGGATTCAGTGCGGTGCACCCTGAGGCTTGCGGGGTCCACTTCAATCACGGTCAGGGTGGAAACATCCATGGATCACTTTTCAGGCCCTTCGCTCGTTGCATCAGCGCTCCCGATGCCCTGTGACTCCGCATACTTGGATGGTGGGGTGTTTCTAGGTAAACGGGTTGGGTCGACCCATCCAAACCTCGACAAGAGCGCACGAGCCACCTCGTCCAACTGGAGCTTGTCGTTGATCGCTGCGCCAAAAAGTGTCATTACGTCACTGACATCGGAGCTTCCGCCAAGAAATTCGATCAACAAGGAGGGCGGGATAGACCGTGAGAAAGAACGATCCGACAAACAAAATCGTCAGTTTTCCTAGTCGTGTCGATGCCACTCTTTTCAAACCAAAAATCCGATCTCATTTCGTCGATTGGTCGTCTGTACGACTGCAAGATCTCGCCCAGCAAACACCACTAACAACACCACTAACAGCAGCGCCCTGCAAAGTGCTGGAGCCGCCCATATCAACATGCTACGAACCACGCGACCGCTGCTAGGTTCAGCCCAAACCTTGACCCTCCTCACACGCCGAGTCCCGCTTGCTGCACGATTCCCCAACCTGTCGTCATCGCTGTCCTCGAACAATGCGCATCCATCCCCTCTCCAACCAAACCCAAGCAAATTCGGGAAGCTAGCACCTCTCATACTTCGAATAGAGTTCTCGACCAAACCGCCTCTCCCTCCAACCAAGGGCGACAGGAACTTCGAGCAGGAAGTGGCCAAGCAAAAACTTGAGTCCGACCCCGAACATGTCACGACCCAGTCCTCGGTCCGCCATGTGTTTGAGCATAGCCAAGCACCCAAGGATAAGGAGAAGGAGGTCTCGGGGGGGCTAAAGGGCGACCTGGTAATTAATTCCCGTCCATCCCTCCACTCTACCCCCGCGACAAACCCACGGAGTACACAATGCTAACAACGATGTCAACAGCAAACCGTCAAAGAAACATTTGCCCTCCAGAGCGTCCCACGCGAGCCCTACGCACTCGGACTCGCCGGTACCCTGCCCTACCTCGGCACGTCCGTCGCGACAGTCTTCCTGTCGTGGAATCTCAACCAGCATCTGCCGAGCGGCTCTCACTTCTCCAACGCTCTGTTACTCTCCCACGACACCGCCTCGCACTGGCTGCACCTTCTCGAGCCCATTCAGGTTGGCTACGGCGCCGTCATCATCTCCTTCCTCGGTGCCATCCACTGGGGCCTCGAATATGCCGAGAAGACGCCCTCGAAAGAGCGCACGCGCTTCCGCTACGGGATGGGTGTTCTCACCCCCATCGTGGCTTGGCCCACCTTGTTCCTGCCGGTCGAGTGGGCGCTGATTTCACAGTTCCTGTCCTTCACGATGCTTTACTTTGCAGACGCGCGCGCGACCGCACGTGGATGGACTCCTGGATGGTATGGGACATATCGGTTTGTGCTCACGGCGATTGTGGGCGCTGCCATTTTTGTCAGTTTGGTCGGACGTGCCAAGGTTGGCCAGCAGCGCTCGCGGTTGACTAGTGATGAGCTGCAGAGCTTGCTGGGCAAGCAGCTGGAGCCATACCACAACTGGGAGAGGGAAGAGGAAGAGGAGAAGAAGAGAATTCGGAAGGAGAAGGAGGAACAGGAGAAGAAGAAAAAGGCAGAGGAGAAGAAGAAGAAGAAAGAGGAGAGGAAGAGCAAGGGCGGAGAGAATGAGGAAGGTGAGGAGAAGAAGAAGAAGGAAGAGGAGAAGAAGAGCAAGGGCGGAGAGAATGAGGAAGGTGAGGAGAAGAAGTCCGAGAAGAAGTCTGAAGAAAGAAGTGAGGTGACGAGGCCATAGGTCCAGGTGGATACGAACAGGCTGATGAGAGGAATGAAGATAATGATGCTACGCAGCGTGGCAATGCCCGGTTATTTGAAGCCGGTGAGAAACCTGGCTTCCTGCTTAGTGCTTGTATGGTAATTAGAAGTAGTTTAGTTCCTCCCTTTACAAATTAATGAAAATTTGTTAATCTCCATCGACTACGGAAAACGCCCAAGTATTGAGAGCTGTTATTGCACCATGGCCTGAGGAAGTATTAAGCCATTCCCTGTCGAAACTTGATACCCTTGATCTTCAAGGAACTTGTGGTTGAAAGTGACAATATCCCAAACAGTCGTGGCTGTCGTCTTGGACTTTGACAAATGTTATACCGCGATCTTGCTTTGGCTCTCTATGGTAGTTAGACACCTGGGCCAAGGCATTAATAATAACAAAGATTGGAGCTACTCGGGAAAGACCGTGGTTATTACACAGACCACTGTCCAGCTAATTCCACGACCACACATTTTATCATCCTAGGTTGGTAATTAACAATCGGCGAGTTTTAACAACACTACGGCCTATGAACGTGGTTTGAAATAACTAGAACTTGAACGGCCCGTGGCTGTATGTTGAGTTGAACAGTCCGGGAAGAGCTCGAGGCCAGTCACATGAAGGAGCGCAAAAAGGAGAACTACCACTGTTGTCACATCGAACAAGGAGAAACAGAGGGGCCAAAACACAAAATTTACTCAGACTGGCAAAAGGTAATGATCGCGGCAGGGCTCGAACCTGCGATCCCTTGCGATGCTCATCCACTCGAAATCCGACGGAATATTGTAAAGCAAGTGCCTTAACCACTGGGCCACGCGACCAGCTATTTTTAGATGCTATTCAGCCCGGATGTTCCACTTATCACCACAGCGATGCGGGGTGTGTTCAAACAACGAACGGGATTCAAGGAGCTGGGCATTTCGGTCTTCATAAAACTCGATCGACATGATGTTATTTCATCGCTGGCAATACCTTGTAGAGGGCAAACAGCGAATGAGTCTTTATCTCGCGCACTTTCTCTAGGCGAACTGTTGTTCATGGGCCACGCCCCAACTAGCATCCAACTCGGTCTGATGTCGCCGTGAAGGGTGTCCGCGACTTCTCTTCCCAGTTGATAATCTTAGTTGAATAAGGTTAGCTTCGAGCTTCAATCTGTCTTGTTTATTATAAGCGATCGAGGTTGGGACTGGTGACGAAGTGCACAGGCGGCGCAAATAGTACCAAACCGATCACTCGTAGGCGGCCAGATTATACGAGCGTGGGTATTTATTTCTTTTTCTTAACCACCTCAAACACAAATGACTGTGTCTTGGAGACGGAATTCCCATTACGAGGTACGATATTTAGCTCCAGGGAGTTCATAGGTCGCCGTCATGAAATATATGTGGTGATAATGGGAGACAAATCAACACGCCCACAGTGGGAAGTTCAGTTCAATGGAGATGTGGTAACCGCGCTCGGGCAAGCATGGAAACCTGACAGGTCGTAAAGGTACTAGAATTGAACGAAATACAGGCCTAATTCAGTACCTGTTAATTACCAGAGGCGATCAACCCAATTCTAGTCCCGGTGTAAAAGTTCACAGATATTCCCATTATTGGTGTGAGAATTGCCGCCAATCTCTTCAATGTCTTGGAATCAGCAGCGAACTATCATCAAAAAGTTATTATAATTCAGTTTCAATTAAGTGAGCGTCACTGTGGTCAGGTACTTTGCCCTGTGAGGGAAGCTATCCCTCGCGCTGGATCAAGTAATAAGTCATGTCATCATTTCTATCCGTGGTATCTCGAAATCAACAAACGCCCGCTTGCCTTCCCACGAAACAACTGGCATGCGTCGCGAGGTCATCTCCCAATCTAGCCCAGTCTGTAACAGAGAATCGAGAAAAAAGAAAAGGAAAGCACAAAAAAAGAAAACCCATCTAAGCCCATCCCGTGAATCCACCCACCACTGTAGACAAAGAAACACGTAATCAACTTAACAACCCCTCCCTGTACCCCTCAGTCCGAATCCTCATCATGACCCGGCCACACAATTTCTCTCTTCAAAACCGCCCGCACACACCGGAACCCGATAAACCCCCACGCCAAAAACAGCCCCACCGTCATGACGCTGCTCAACCACAGCACGCCCTCACTCCCGAGAGCCTCGCCCAGCCTCATCGACGCGATCGCGAACCCGACATTCGGGAACACAAAGCTCCACCAGCTCAGATGGAACTTGCTATCCGGCATGCCAGCCACGACCGCCGCGGCCGCCGAGGCAAAGAACCAGAAGCTCAGCCCCCAGAAGAACACCGCCACATTGATCGCCAGCAGCCGCACGCCGGCGCCAATGGTCGCGGGATCGCCCAGGCCCGCGAGTACCGAGGCCTCGCCGCCGGCCGCGCTGGCCATCATGATCCGCGGCACGTCCGTCGCCATGGCCACGAGCGCGGCGCACGTGAAGCTCGGCGGGCCCACGGCGATGAACATACCTGGCCGCTGGGCGGGCAGGCCAAACGCCATCAGCCGCGACAGGTACGTCGAGTAGAAGAAGATGGAGACAAACATGCCCAGGCCCTGGGCGGCGAGCCCGGCACAGAGGATGCCGACGGCGTCGTCGGGCTCCTGGCTCTTGGAGATGGCGCCGGCGAGCGTGCCGGCCAGCATGACGGGGAAGATGGGCAGGATCCAGGCGGGCGTCATGGCGCTGACGGTCAGGCGGCGCTCCTCGCGCACCGAGAAGATGAGGTGGTACTGGAAGACGGAGAAGATGAAGGTCACGCTGAGGTAGACCCAGAAGGCGGCGGCGAGGAACTTGGCCAGCGCGCCGCCGCGCGCTGAGGTCTCATCGTTGAGGTAGAGCGCGCCGTACTCGGCCACGTTGGACAGGATCGCGGCGATGGAGAGGAAGAAGGTCGGCACGAAGAGCGCCTCGGTCGGGCGCGTGAAGGCCCGGCGGAGCGTGTGCTTGTAGAGGATGGAGCGCAGGATGATGGCGACGGTGATGAGCAGGAAGACCAGCAGGTCGAGGAGGAAGATGACCAGCCCGATGGTGGACAGGCCTGGGAAGCGGTGCGGGGTGAGGGCGATGATCAGCGCGATGCCGCTTGTTGACATGCTGTGGGGGGTTGGTGTTAGTGTTGGGGTCCGGGTTGGGGGTGGTGGGTTAGGTGTGTGAAGGGGGATGGGGGGACTGGGGGGGAGCCTTTACGTGACGGTGTACCAGGCAAAGGTAAAGTGGAGGAGCCGTTCCCGCCATGGCAGGTTGGGCTGGAGATAGGTCGGTATCCTGCGCAGCTGGGGCGTCGGGACAGAGCTGATGGAGCCAGTCTCGGGCTTGGAGTTGGAGTTTGTGGTCGACGTGGTGTTGGAGACGTCTTGGCGTTGCGCCGCCGTCGGGAGCGACTGGTTCTCCATTTGCGCTTCGAGCTGCATCGCGCGCAGTGCCAAGAGCGGTTCTGGGCTACTGCAGACGCTGGACTTTCTTCGTGTTGGTGGTTGATGGTCAATTGCCGACGTCGCCATTTGCGCCGCTGTCTCGGTTTTTTATTCTCTTTATTTTTTCTTTTCTGGCCCAGGGCCGGGCAGCTCAGGCGAGGGCAGTTTGTTTTTGTGGTGCAAAAACTCGAGTGCGTCACCGCTGTCGGGGTGGTGCGAAGTTGAGATTAGGCGGTGGGATGGAGAGCATGAGCTGATGGGGGCTGATGGGACACTAAAATTCTCGCAGGCAGGTCCCTGGTCGTGGGATTTCTCGTGACGGGGGGGCGCGATAAGGACCGAGCTGGCCATTTGCCTGGCTCGCCTGGTTCGAGACCGCTCGGTGGGGCCACCGGGCTCGGATTGGTGCCACCTGGTTGGGTGCCGTACAGGGGATGCCGGCCCGAAGTCACCTCATTTGGGCGCCGATTCGGGGGTGCTGTTCAAGGGCTTGTTGCCTGTTCGAGCCTGTTTGTCCCACCGTCAGCTGCTGCTGGGTGCCCGGTATGAGCTGTGAATCACCAAAAATGGAGCTTGTGTCTCGTATTTGGGCGCCATAGCGGGAACCGAAGAAGCAGAGTTTTTTCAAGAGCAAAAGGTGGTACGATGGAGTTTTGTTGCACACTAGGTGGCTCTTCAAGTTGTCGCCATCTTAATGGCTTCATTTCTCTGATGGTGAGATACAAGATGCCAAGTTCATGACCAAAACAAACCAGGTAAAACCAGTCTTCAATCCAAAATACCTGGTGATTATTCCGTAATCCCGGTCCATATTTCTGGGAAATTCGACACTCTCATTTATTCGACCCCTTTCATCTCGTTCTATCATTGTCGACCATTAATTACATGTAGCAACTAGCTCTTCAGCCCCTTGCTCCGGCTTTCGTCCGATTCCGATCCTGCAACTTGTGAAGAAAGTCCAACCCAGCCCGTTGTCGATCAACAATGTATCCCAGTCCGTACTTCCTTGGGTCTTGGCAAATTGGACAGTTTGCAACCACCCCGTCATCCTCCTCCGGCCCCGGTTGATACTCTCTGGCGTCGTGGTACCGTTCAGAATCATCGTCCTCGAACCAAATATTTCCCTCGTCGTCCATCTGTACTCGATACCCAGCCATCTGGAATGCGTTGCACAAGGCGCGAAGCATAGGGAAACTCGACATCTGACACCTCCACTGTTCTGTCGAGATATTCCGGTAGAAAGAGTCGTGCCATCGAATGGGATTCCATCTCGACCGTCGTCTTCGCGATACATGTCGTGCTTGTACTGAGGGTCCTTCCCGAAATTGTCGTCACAGTCTGCTTTGTGGTGACCAATGTTGGGGTTGGTAAAACCCCCGTTCTCGTCATCGTATGTGCCTGTGACTACCAGTTGACCATCGTCAGTTCCATGTTGGTTTAAAAAAAGGGGATTTCACAGCTGGACTTGGCACAGACGCGGAGGTGAGTTCCGGACATACCACAATGGTGCCCATCCAGCTCTGCATCACATCTCAAGCCAGAGAGAATCTCCTCGTCCGCATAGACATATCCGGTAGCGCACTCTCGCCCGTCTTTCCGGATCAACCCATGGACTGACCAGCTGATAGACATCGAGGATGGCCGAATTTCTCGTCCGTGCTCGAACTCAGCTCTCGTCGCTGCCCAGTCATTCTCGTCGTACGCGGGATGTATACATAAGCTCCAAAGCTTTGCCGCGTCGAAATCAGTGATGGATGCTGAACCCGGGAGATTTGGGAGATAGAGCGGATCCAGCCGGAGCTGAAAGATGTCATCCCGCCACACGTCGTGGTAGAGGAGATGCAAAGGGATCCCCTCTAGTTCCTGGAATCTCCACTCCTTGACAGAAGTTAGAATTGAAGTCCAGAAACCGGGAGACCATGCGTAGTCCTCCTTTGTCTCAGCCACATTTGCCCCTTTCATGAGGACATGGTGAAGGACTGCTTGGCTGCTGCAGATCGATTGTACCGCTCGTAAAACTGGTATGTAGTAGTTACTGACTCTGTCCTTTTCTTGAGGGTTAATCTGGGCACCAAGATGGATGAGAATCGCCGCAGCTTCAATAAACCGGTTGAGGCAGCATAGAGAAGTGGTAATGATATACCATCCGCAGACGAGACGGGGAGATCGGAACTGTCAATCGCATCCATCACGTTCTCAATGATCTGCGCCAGGCTACTTGATGTGAGCAGACTCCCGGGGCTTTCATGGGCATCGAGTGATTGCCAGCCCCAGTAATATACCCGGTTTAAAAAGTCGATTGATGAACAGACGGGAACGGCGCTTTGATAGCCTGGGCAGCGGCCGGGGGATGTGTGAATGCTGCAATTTAGATCGTGGTCAATTCTTAGAGTAACCTG